GCGGGGGGCCCCAAGCGGGCAGTGGCGGGGCTGTGCCGGCACGGCCGCAGACGGGGGAAGAGAAGATTACAGAGGAGGGGGAAAAAAAAAAATAAAATAAAAGTCGAGATTATGCTAAAATTAACCAGGAAAAACAGAGCCCGTCAAGCCAGCTGAGACACAGCGGCAGGGAGCAAACGCCTTCTGCCCATGCCCATGCCACCGGCATAAATGCAGCCTAGGTGATGGGCATGTCCCCCCACGGACATCACCGCAGGCACTGCTCAGGGCATGGAGCCACCTGAGGTTGGGGCCATATTGAAGTTATACAGACCTTATATTTACTGCCACGACCACCCCGCTCCACGGTTTCCACACTGTATGTGCTGGTGGAGCAGCTTTGCTCAGCCCCGAGGTGAGCATTCGGCATGGCGGGGGCTCCCCGGTGCTGCCGAACCAGCCTCCGCCGGCGCCCTCGGGATGCTGACGCAGCACCCGGCGCAGCCCAGCCAGCCCTGCTGGGCCAGCGTTCGTGGTCAGTGCTGGCAACTCCTGCCCGGAGCTGGGAGCAGGGGTAGGAAGGACTCAGCGTATCCCTTCATTTTTTCCATTAAATATCTCTGATTTCTGGCAATGCCACCCCGTACCGCCGGGCTCGGCAGCCAGGGCCAGCTGCATTCGCCGTGCCCTTCCCCACTGCGTGCCCAGACAAGGAAACTGAGGCACACAGCAAGAGAGAACCCTGCTTATAAGCATCCCTGTGGCAAGGTGCCAGACAGTCATCCCCCAGCCTCCTGCTCTGCCTGACCCTGCCTGCCATTTGCTCCCTGCCTGGGAGGGAACAACTCCCCTGGGACCTCCTGCCCGCTCCCGGCAGGGCGGCACTCTCCGGCAGCCGCCGAGGCTGGCCATGTCCCTCGCAAACTTCCTCCACGGCTCCTGGCTCCTTCCCCGCAGCCTGCAGAAGGCAGCCCTGCCATTGCCCCCCCCTCCCCGCTTCAAGCTAGCAACTCCGCTCGCCGCCGGGAGTTCACCCAGCACGAGAGCCCGCGTGCTTGCGGCGAGCAGAAATTCAGGCCCGAATTAATTGCAGCCCCCAGCTGCCCTGCCCGCGCCCAGAAGGAAGACGGGGCAGCAGCAATTAGGCGTCATGTGTGTGTGTCCCCCCCAGTTTCCCTTTCAAATCACTGCCTTTGCCTAATGAAGGGGGCAGGTAATTGCTGGGGAAGCTGAACGCTTCCCCCCACCGTGCCACCCCCAGCACCGGCGACTCCCACCCAGCCGAGGGTAGGGGGACCCTTACCGGCCTCCCCGGGCGAGCACAGCAGAGGGGAAGGGTTTCCAATCCCCGGAAAACCCCGGATGCCGTCCATTCAGCCCCAAAACAATCCCCAGGCAGGGTGCCAGCTGCCAGCTTCCACCCTCCTGCCCAAACCAGGCAGGAGGCAGGCAGCGCCAGGGGGGCTTCGCGTCCTTCGGACCCCCCGCACCAGCCCGGCA